TGCCTCCAGCTCTTCCTCGTTCTTCTCTGACCTCGTACTGTTCCAACCCATCCAACATCGTCATCGCGTGTCCTTGTCAACATGATCGTCAGTTCCATTTTCGTCAAAAACGCCAGCCTCATTATCGCCCAGCCCTTGCCCACTATTTCGCGCCTGGCGAAACCAGGTCATACGCGTCAAATGCAACAAAAAAGCGCGGAAAGACTTGCACATGGAGCGCATGTACAGGAAAACGATGGCAATGCCGAAAATGCGACTGACAGGACTGATGACAACATCAGCCACGGACTCACCGACCCACTCTTGCGGTTGATCCAGACTTCCTGTATAATACCTATACGACCACCCTACGGGTGATAAGGAGGTCGGGGGGGTGGGGGCCAGCAATGGGCAACATTGGATAGCTCGCCGCTGCCACGGCGGGACACCAGCGGGACACTAGCGGGACGCCGCGAGGCACCGTTTGCCGGGTGGAGAGACATATGGTCCGGCCGCGGCCCAGCCACAAGAAGATTTCGGGACACCGGCGGGACACCGGCGGGACACCGCGGGGCACTGGCCGCCAGAGGAGTTACATTTGGTCCGGCCGCGGCCCAGCCACAGGAGGATTTCCTCTCGCCCGCCCACGCAGCTTCGCCTCGCCCGCACGCACGCACGACACGAACCCAAAACCGAAATCGATCTCCCGGCAGGGGGGGTCTCCGTTTCACGTCGGACCCACCCCCCAGCCTCGGATCGCATGATCCCTTGCCGTGACACCGTGATAAAGTTGTTAATTCCGCGTGCCCCAGGGGCATCGCTTCCTCGCTGAGAGCCTCTTGTGGGTATCTGGGAGCATCCAGGACGGTCCTGGACGTGGGTGGCAGACTCCCTGAGCACGTGTGTGGCGGGACATCTGTGAGCCTCAGAGCATCGTGCAGCATTGGCGAGGCTTCGTGAAAGAGTTTCGGGTCCCACGTCCCGAGGACCTCCTGTAAGAAAACGTCTGCTCGGGATTCGGCGTTGGATTCCGCAGATCTCCCTAGGTTTTCCGGAAATGGTGCCAAGAGGCGCGATTGGGTGCCTCGCTTCCTCGCGAGGCCAGGGGTCAAGATGTCGTGAGCTCACGAAATTCGCCGGTCCAACGGGCCAGAGGCGTGCTAAGATCTCCTGTAACTGGTTAACAATATTTCTAGTTCGCGCGCGCGGAGCGGCCCCTGGGAGCCCCCGGACGAAAAGTACCCCGGCAAGGTCCCGGGAGAAGCCACCAGAGCACTCCAGGGGAGGGCCGTTTTTCGACACCCCTCACGAGGATCGTGGCCTCCGAGGGGGGAGCCGCAATCGACTACCCGCCCTCCCGCCCCAAGAGGCCCCCAAAAGCCCCCCAAGAGGCCCTGGGGGCCCCCAAGACGCCGCCAAGGAGCCCCAAGAGACTCCCAAGAGGTCCCCAAGAGGCCCTTTAGAGGGCTCCAGGGCCGGCGGAATGAGCGAAGCGATTAAATAAAAACTCCTTCAAGTGGTACTGTCCTGGTGGGGTCTCATAGGGAATCGCACCAACCCTCTCGGCGTGGCACGAACAGTCAGCTCCGAATCGGGAAGTCAGATCGGATCCGAATGCACATCGAATCGAGCCGCATTGGCACAGAGTCGAAATCGAATCGGATACGCTGCGCCAGGATGCGCAACAACGGCGGGCAAGCATCGGGCCACATCGGATTGTCGGAATGTCGGAATCGAGTCGCATCGGGCCGGCCAAAATCGGTATCGAATCAGATTGATCGAATCGAAATGGACACTGGCGTAGGCGGTTTAGAAGAATAGCTCTTCCTAATCAATCCCTTCTTCCCCTTGGGGGGAGCCACGCATCCCTTTACAAAACTCACCCATTAGCCTAGCCACACGGAGAGGGTGGTTCAATGCCTTTCGGGATGGAGTTGTTCTCAATATGATGGCTGTTAGAGGCCTCTTGTGGTCTCTTTGGGCCTGTCGCGGGCCTCTCCAAAGCCTGTTAGGGGCCTCTTGGGAGCGTCTTGAGGCCTCCTCGGGGCCTGTTAGGGGCCACTGGGGGCTTCTGGAGGCCATCTTGCTACCAACCAAGGTTTTCTTTTGACCACTGGCCAGGGTCGAGATTTGGAATGGGGGGCTATTGGGGCCATCTTGGGCCGTGTTCAGACCTTGTGGGCAGTCTTGGGGCCCCCTTGGGGGTCTTTAGGCAGTCCTGGGGTGATCTTGAGAGTCTCTCGGGCCGTTCCGAAACTTGGGCCGATATGCAACAAAAATCGCGCACATTGAAGGGGCCCCAGGACACACAAATAAATACACACAAATAAAAAGATTCCCCATATTTTCCCATCTTTTCTGGGTTTCTGTCTTCCCCCCACTTCCCATATTTCCCCATATTTTCTGGGGAATCGAGGATTAATTGTGTCTGTGTGTTTCTTTTCCTCCTGACACATGGCGGTTGACGATGTGTGCCTCGTCGGGGCCTCTTCGAGGCCCTGCGGGGGCCACCTTGGGCAGTCGTGGGACCTTCTTGGAACGACTTGGATGCGGTCTTGAACCATCTAGGCCACTTGGAGGCCATCCTGGCCGCCTAGGAGGCAGTCCCCGGCGGTCGAGTCTGCCTTGGACTGTCTCGATGGCCATCTCGGCCGCCATGGAGGCGCTGATACGCCAGTCCCGTGGGCGCGACGGAAGTGGAGGGGCTGGCCCTTCATGCTAAGGGCCCTCGCCTGGGATCTGAACCGGGGGGAGGCACCAGGGGTCAGAGAGCACACGATGGCACAGGTGGCTCCAAGACTGCCTCAGACAAGCCAAGAGTCTTCCAAGATCTCGCACGGCGGCTCAAGTTGGTTCAATGTGGCCTCCAGCATGCCCCAAAGAACCCCAAGACGGAGCCTAGGTGACTCGCGGGGGCAACTGAGTTGCCCAACAATGCCCCGACAGGCCAAACTCTAGCAACAACAAAAAGGCTACATCTCTGCCGATGGGGGGTTTGCCACTAGAAATAGCCCTAAGAGCCCCAAGACTGCCCCGCCCCTAAGGCCCCCAAGAACACCAAAAAAGCACCCAAAGAAGCCGTCAAGAGGCGGACGTTTCTAGCTCCAGAGAGGGGGGGACTGAATCAAGCACACGAACCCCAGGACGGACCCAAGTGGGCCCTGGAGACTCCTGAAAGGGCCCTCTGGGGCCTCCAAGAGGCTGCTGGGGTCCCCAAGTTGGCAATTGTTGGGGGGCTGCTCGGCTGACCCTGGTTTCAGGATGACGTCTGTCTCCTCCTTGAGTTCAACGCATGCTCACCCACTGCCCGTTTCTCACGACAGCTCGCTGGAACTCACTTCTGGATGTATTTGTGGGGGCACGCGAAGCGTCAACACAAACCCCCGCTTGCTAACAATAAGCGGAAGTAAGCAGAGGACATGCTGAATACACCGCATATCAGCTCATGACACATGGCACATACAACCCAGCGAATGCTGGAGCGAATGATGAGGCGCACGGTGTAGCAATGTATGGCTACACTAAAGTGCATCGCCTCTTACATGTATCCGTGCGTGCCAACGTTTCGGTGCATGTTCTCGCTCTCGTAACGGATCCATGAACATGCTCATTTGCGCGGTATGTGCCCACTGAGGCATTCCCACATGTATGTACCTTCTTGTCTACCTGCCTACTTGCCCAGACCAACCCGCCATCACGGCCGCCCACACGCGCACACACACACACACACACACACGCACACACACACACACACACACACATACACACACACACACATGTCCTCCCACCGACGCACTCGTCTTTCCCTCACGTACCTTCCATTACCTATGTACCTGTTACCACCCGACGTCAGCACCCTTCAAACCTTGCATCGCCCGCTGGCCCGCCCGCCAGGTCGTCCCCCCAGCATCTCCCGCCGACCCGCCCGCCCGCCAGCTCCTCACCTCCCTCATCGCCAGCCGACCCACCCGCCCGCCAGCCCATCCCCTCGCTCGCCTGCCGCCGACCCGCCCACGCACTCGTCCTCCTCCTGCTCGCCGTTCGGTGCCCCGCGCCACGAGCACGTCCAGAGCCGAGTCGTTTTTTGTTCCGCTGGCGGTGCCGCCTGGACACCCTTGATCCACGGAGGCATCGCCTTGAGCATTGACTTAACCTCTGCGTGAAAGCGCAAGCAGGAACGGGCAGGAGGAGGGCAGTTGGAGATGCAGGAAGAGCAGCAGCCAGGCCGAGAAGGAGGAGCAGCAGGAGCAGGAGAAGGGAGGAGCGAGTAGGAGAACGGAAGAGCAGGGAGCAAAAGGGGAGGAAGGCAGGAGGTGGGAGGAGGGAGGGGATAGTCAGCGATGAGGGAGAGAGGGCGGGCAAGGAGGGAGCGAGGAGGGAGCGAGGAGGGAGAGAGGAGTGAGACTGGAGAGGGAGCGAGGAGGGAGGAGGCATTGAAGGAGTGAGGGCGCGAGGGAGGGAGACGGGAATAGGAGGGAGGGAGCAAGGAGCAGCAGCAGCGGCAGCAGCGGCAGCGGCAGCAGCCAGCGGCAGGACGAGCGGGAAGAGCCAGGAGGAAGACGACGACAGCCTCGACGAGGAGGGCGCAGCGGGAAGCCGGGCACGCGCGCCCCGCGAGCGACCGCGCGCGGGGGGGGGAGGGGCTACAGCAGCGGCAGCCCCTCGGCCTCCTCCAGCGGCAGCGCCCGATAGGCCCCCGCGCCGGGCCCCGCGCGCCGCACGCCGCGCCCCAGCGCCGCCAGGACCGGCAGCAGCGCCAGCGCCAGCGCCGGGAAGCCTGAAGGGAAACTGGGACACACAAATAAATACGCACAAATAAAAGGATTCCCCATATTTTCTAATATTTTCTGGGTTTTTGTCTCCCCCCCCACTTCCCATATTTTCCCATATTTTCGGGGGAATCGACGATGAATTGTGTCTGTGTGTTTCTCCCCCTCCAGAAAGCCCCAGGGCGGCGCCGCCCGCAGCCCGCCCAGAGGCCCCGCCGCGAGGGACCGCGCGCGGCGCAGGGCGCCAGCGGCGCGCGGCAGCGCCGCGGGCGCCTGCCACAGCCCGGTGGCGCCGCCGCCGGCGGCGCCGCCGGCAACCGAGAGGCCCGAGGACGCCCAGGGCGGCCGGCCGAGGGCCTGCAGCGCGGTGCCCGGCGAGTCCAGCAGGGCCGCCGTCAGGTTCCGGAGGTCGTCGTCGGAGAGGCCCGGCGTGCCCTCCACGTGGTAGACCGCGACCGACGCGTTCGCGACGAGGGCGGCGTGCGGCAGGCAGTTGGCTCCGGCGGGCATGATGCAGCCGCACAGGCCAGTGAGGTGGTCCACGTGGAAGAAGCGCTTGGAGCAGAGCTGCTCCGCCCAGACGGCCTCCGCGCACGCCGCCGGCTCCGAGAGATTGCCGATCCACTTGGTGGCGTTGGCCATGCCGCACTGAGTTCCATCGTGCAGGAGAGCGACCAGCAACGCAGTGGACTGCACGTGGTAGACGTGGAACCTGCTGCTGACCGCCAAATTGTCTTCCAGCAAGCAGTTCGTCCCGACTCGCTGGACACAGCCGCATGTCCTGGTGTCGTTGCGCGCGTCCGCCACAAAGTTCACGTACACCCCGCTGCAGCTAGGATCCTCCTGCACAGCAGCTGCACATTGACTTGGACTTGGCGACCACGCACTCAGCCACTTGGTGGCGTTGGGTGCACACTGCGTATCGGCGAACAGCCTGCTGACGCTGAGCACGGTGGTGGAAGTCGTGGGCCGGCGGTCGGTCCGCAGCTCTGGCAGCAGCTGGTACACGGGCAAAGGCTTCCATGATAGGAGGTCGTAGTCCGGGTTGCCCTCACGACCGCTGTTCGCGCACATCACGAACAGCTCGCACAAGGCGCCGCCCAGCGAGTGGCCGACGCAGCCCAGCGATCGGCACATCGGCAGCTTGGACTTGATGCCCGAAGTGTAATTCGGGCTGCTGGCGATGGCCCGGAGCTCGTCCCGCACGCCGCTGTGGACGTTCGGGAAGCCGCAGTAACTCCCGCCGTGGTCAAGGGAGAACCGGGCCGTGTCCGCGGGCGTGTCGGCCTCCTGGAAGCTGAGCGTGCAGTTGCCCTCGTCGTTCTGGATGAGCAGCTGGGTGTCCAGGTCGCCCGGGCTCGTGACCATGGAGAACCCGACCAGCCTCCAGGGAGGGATGTCCCTGACCGTCCCGACACTCAACTCCAGGTCCTCGAGGTACGTCGCGGGGGCCATCGCCCCTAGCCTCACGACGAGGTCGACCCGGCGCTGGAGGGCCTCGGTCGACATCCCTGGGACCGTGATGTTCACCACGCGCTGCCCATAGACGCCCTCCATCCCGTGAAGAAGCCAGTCGTGATAGGTCATCGGCTTCCAGAAGGGCATGCGCTCCGTCGGCACTTCGCTGCCGCTGGGCCCCTCGACGCAATCCATGTACTCGGACGGCTCCCCGAGGCCCCTCACGGCGAGAGCCGGTGTCTTGGCGTGCGGGAACCGGGTGAACATGGCCGACGCGTCCTCCTGGATGCCGCGGCCGCCCCCAGGGAGCCTCCTGTTCTCCGAGTAGATGCGCACACCAGGTACGCACCCACCGCCAGGGTTGGAGGCCGCGGGGTAGCTGATGGCTGGGGCGCCGAAAGTGACCACCCGCTCGACGAGCCTCGGCAGCTGCGCGCAACACTCCGGCCACTGCCGCGGCCCGGCCAGGCACGCTGGGCTGGAGGGCGTGGCAGGGGCGCCGGCGGGGTGGAGCAGGCAGAGGCCCGCGGAGTCGTGGACGTGGGTCGGTTCCAGGACGAAGCTGAAGTGCTCACAGCCCTCGGTGATCTGGCAGCGCGCTTGGCAGTGCTCGGGAGACCGCTCGCTGCTCGGGGCGAGGAGGCCGTCCTTCTCGAAGCTGCGCCCGCTTGCGAGGTAGCACGCGTCTGGGTCACACTCCGCGACTGCCACGGCGGCGCCCGACGCGTTGAGCTGCGGCGGCGCGCTGGAGACGTTCGTCCGCGGCGCGGGCAGCGCCTCCGTCGTCGCTGCCACGTCATCCACGGAAACGGTCGCTGGCATCGGCGGCGGCGCGGGCGCTGTCGTCGCAGATGCTGGCGGCACAGGCGTCGGCCTGTGCGGCGGCGGCGCGGGAAGCGGAGGCGGCGGAGGCGGCGGAGGCGGAGTCGGGCTGGACGCCGGGCTCCTCGTCGGCCCGTCTGGCTCCGGCAGCCTCGCCCCGAAGCTCTGGTGCCTCGGGCTGCCCGTCGGGCTGCCCGTCGGGCGGTGCGACGATGCCTCGGCGGCGGCGGCGCTGGTGGTGGCCTCGGCAGCTGCGGCGGGCGTCGTGGTCCCTGCCTCCGCCTCGGCGGCGGTGGCGGCCGTGGTCGGCGGCGCTGCACCGCCGTGGAGAGCGGCGCTGCCCCGGCCCTCGGGCGCGCGCACCGTCGTCGAGGGGAGCGCGGCCCCGGCGGCCTGCGAAAGCCCGGCGAGGGGCGACTCGAGCGGCGCCACCTGCCCGAACCTCCGACCGTCCTCCTCCTCCTCCTCCCCCTCCTCCCTCCCTCCTCCTCCTCCTCCTCCTCCTCCTCCTCTCCTCCTCCTCCTCCATCTCCTCCTCCTCCACCTCCTTCCCTCCTCCTCCTCCTCCTCCTCCTCCTCCTCCTCCTCCTCCTCCTCCTCCTCCTCCTCCTCCTCCTCCTCCTCCGCCTCCTCCTCCTCCTCCTCCTCCTTCCTCCTCTCCCTCCCCTCCTCCTCCGACGTCGTGGCTTCGTCGGCGCGCAGTCTCTGGAGCGCTCGATCGAGGATGTGCCCAGAGCGGATCCCCGCCCAGGGCGGGCCCCGCTCTTCGAGCCAGGTCTCGTGACTCCCCCGAGAGGCCCTCTGGGCCCCGTGAGGGGTGCCAATTATAGAGGCCTCTGGGACCTCCTGGGGAATCCTGCGGACACCTTGGGCCAGGGACTCTCTCGGCAAGCCCCCTCGGCGGCGAGCGAGGGGGGGAAGTGAGAAGGAGCGGGCCTTCTCAAAAGCCTCGGAAAAGTCCGCTGGCCTTCTGGAAGTTTCTAAGCCTTCCCCGCAGACACGGAGAACCTCTCAGAAGGCGCGAGGGCATCTGAGAAGTCCCGCCGCCTTCCGAGAACGCCTTTTCCTTAGAACTTCCCCCCTTCGCTCGCCGCCGACGCACACCTGTGACAGGTGTTTCGTCACAGAGCGGTGACGGTCCTGAGGCCCTGGGCAGATCCCAGACGCAGAAATGTTAAGCAAGAATGCCGCCCGATCTTGCTCCACGCGTCGGAGGTCATGAGCCCGGCGGAAGAAGCCGACCCCCGAGGCGTCCAGGGGCGGGTCCAGCCATGCCATTGCGCCGGCCTTGCAGACGTGCTGCAGCGGATTTCTGCGTGGACTTCTGCATGGATTGTTGCCCGAAACGGCGAGCGAAAAACAAAGTGAATTTCGCGTGGATTATTTTTGGTCTTGATTCCTGGCCAACAAAAATCCGCACGAAATTCACCTCGAAATCCGGAGCGAAATTCTCCAGGACACCCCCGGCCCACCCTGTCGTTTTCCGAACGAAAACCCGCTCTGCGATGTTGGCGCCATGAGCCATGGCCACGAGGGCGCCCCAGGAGGCCCCGCCAAAAAGAAATCTCCAGACGCCTCGACCTTCGATTCTCCGTCCTCGATACAGTGCGGGCGCGGCCGCAAGAAACCCTCGCAAGAAACCCAACCCTGAGAATCCGTGCGCGAGGTGCACCTGAGGGGAAACCTGGAGCACCCTGAACGCAGCAGCTCCTTCAACGACCGCGGGAAGTCGCCGCGCAGCGCGCGGAGCGAAGAAACCCAGAATTCCCTCACGAAAAGCATATGCTTTCTTGATGCGCGCCCCCACTGTACCCTTCCCGACCCAGACCCGTCTCTAGAGGCCTCCCAGATGGGGTCGGAAGAGATGGGGGTCGGAGAGTCGCGCCGCCTCGCCGGCACAGCTGCGATGCATCGGCGATGCACCGTCGATGCACCGGCGTTGCATCGTCAACGCGGGCGATGCGTCGGCGACGTCGACGCGACGCAAATCGGGCTCCATGTCGAGCCGCATCGGCGATGCATCGGCGATGCGGCGCCATCCTCTGGCCCCATCTGCTCCGACCCCATCCAGGAGGCCTAGATTCTCCCTGTCTCGGGCTCCACCCTGGCCCGTCTTTGGGCGACGAGCACCTCCAGGAACGCCCCAAAACGACGACGACGACGACGACGACGACGACGACGACGACGACGACGACGACGACGACGACGACGACGACGACGACGACGACGGCGGCGGCGGCGGCGGCGGCGGCGGCGGCGGCGGCGGCGGCGGCGGCATCATGGCGTCCGCCACGATCTCCGCTCCCACCTTGTCATCGCCCGCCTCTTGGACGCCCCCGGAAAAAATCGGGAGTGGACCGAGCCCCTGTCCTACCCAGACCCCCGACGTCGTGATTTTTGTCACAACGTCGACCCCCAAAGGTCTGGAGCCCTTCCCGGGGACCGGTTTTTCGTCCTGAACCGTTTCTGACGGTCCCGAGGCCCAGGAAGGCCCCGGAGGCGGAAAGTAGCGAAACACCTCCCGTCGTGATGTTTCCCAGCGCGAGGAGGTCTGAGCACTCAGCAAAGCACCACCCCAACAGAAGCGGCCCTGGACCAGACCCCGGGCGACCTGGGACTGGACTCCTGGCGGGCGCAGCAGCGCAAACGCTGCGGCCGCACCACCCTCTCTCGAGAGAAAGGGTCCTCTTCTGTAGCAGCTGCGGGGGCCCTGTCCGTCCCGTCGCGCCCCCATCCGCGCCGAATCCATGTCGGACTCGTCGAATCCGCGTCGAATCTGTGTCGAATCCAGTCCGCGTCGAATCCACGTCAGATCCGCGCCGAGCCCGCATCGAGCGTCCGCATCGGGCGCAAGAAGGACGCCGACTCGCGGGACACGCAAGGTCCCCCGAAGATGCAACATGAGGCACTTCGCTCCTCCACTTGGGGTGGCTTGGGCCTCTGTCGGCTTCCAATACCCGCACCCCGATCCGCATCCCACTTGCCTGCCGTGGCGAGGGGCCGAGGCGTGACTGACACTAGCAGCGCGGGATCCCCCTGTCGGTGCAGCAAAGGGGCACCTCGCTCCTGTCGCCGAGATGGCCGCGGACACGGGGTCCCAGAGCGCGTGCGCGCCCGGAGCCGAGGCCGACGGGGGAGTCGAACGGCGCACAGGGCGCCAAGGGCTTTTGTGTCTACGTGGGGGGGCAAGAGGATGCCGACACCGCTACCCTAGGCCCCAGGCCTCTCCTGGGGTGCGTTCTGGCCAGCATTTTCTGAGGAGGATCCAGCCGGTGGCGACGAGGGCTGTCCAGGGCGAGCGGCGGCAGCGGCATCTTGTCTTTGACTCACTGCAAAAATCTGTTTAGCCCCCCGAGCACGGGCAAACTCAGATTTTTTGGCGCGGGATGATTGGCGGAGTGGGGACCACCAACAATCCTGGAAGAATAATTAATAGTCGTTCCCCAGCACTGGCCACCGCTGATGGTGGGGGGGGCCAGTGCTGAGGATCCCTGATGGCGATGGTGATGGTGATGATGATGATGATGATGATGATGATGATGATGATGATGATGATGATGATGATGATGATGATGATGATGATGGTGATGATGATGATGATGGTGATGATGATGATGATGATGGTGATGATGATGATACTGATGATACTGATGAAGATGAGAATGAGAATCATAATGATGATGATGATGAAGATGATAATGATGATGATTCGTACGATGACGATAATGATAATGAAAATGTTAATAATGATGATGATGATTATTATGATGATGATGGTGGTGATGATGATAATGATGATGACGATCATGATGATGATGACGACGACGACGATGACGACGACGACTGGGAAAATAATTAATCATTCCCCGACAGTGGCCACCGCTGATGATCTGGGGGTGCTGAGGATCCCTGATGGTGATGATGATACTGCTGCTAATGATGATAAAGATGAAAATAATGGTGATGGCAGTGATGATGATGATGATGATCATCATCATCATCAGCATCATCATGATGATGATGCTGATGCTGATGCTGATCCTGATGCTGATGCTGGTGCTGATGCTGACGCTGATGCTGATGATGATGCTGATGATGATGAGGCTGATGCTGATGCTGATGCTGATGCTGATGCTGATGCTGATGCTGATGCTGATGCTGATGCTGATGATGATGATAATGATGATGATGATGATGATGATGATGATGATGATGATGATGATGATGATGATGATGATGATGATGATGATGATGATGATAATGATGAGGAGGAGGAGGAGGGGGTGCACGAGAAGGGGAAGGACGAGTTTCACTGCCAGACGAAAGCCTGGGGTGCGGGGGACTGGGCAACATGAAAAACTCCTGCGGTGAAACATCAACCTCCGACGTAAAACATGACTTTTTCACTTAGGGGTCCCCAGAAGTCCCGACCCTTTCCCTAGGGCCTAGGGCCGGTTTTTCTAGGGCCGGTGTTTCATCACGAATCGTCCTTTCAAGGCCCCAAGGGTCGAGTAAGGCCCCCAGAAGGCCAAAAACGGCAACAAAAACCCTCCGTCGCGACTGTTTCACGACGCGAGCACGTCTGGGCTTCGAATCATAACTCCACTTCTCGGCGGCCGTTCGGGACGATCTGGGCACCCCCCGGAACGCCCTCGGCCAGGCGCAGCTGCTGGAGGGCATCCCGACGCTGAATGGTCGCCGAGATCAAGGTCAAGTCGTAGGCTGCGGCAGCCCATGGGCACGTGCCCGTATTTGTGGGCTGGGACACCGTCCTTCCACGGCATCCGCCCTGCGAGCTGAGCGACGCAGAAATGGATGTGCACGCATTTCTCTGCAGCGTTGCGCAGGGAGAGGAGGACGCACGAAGGAAGGGGAGGGACGCACGACGAGCGAGGACGCGAGGCGAGGCATAGTCGCAGAGAGTCGGCAAAAACTCTTCGTGACTTTGCTCCCGACGCGGGCACGTCTGGGACGACGACGGCGCCCCTCGCCGCCCTGGCGAGCGCCGCGCCCTCGGGCGCGGCGCCAGCCGCGCGCGGCGGCAGCAGCAGCAGCTGCGGCGGCACGACGGCCAGGAGGGCGGCGCGGCCAACCCGCGGCATGGCCGCG